AGTACTTTGCCGACCCCGTGGCCTCCAAGTACACACAGGGAACCGCCATTCACTGGTACGGACACGACCCGAAGGAACAGTTGGACGCACCCCATAACCAACACCCGGACAAATGGATGTTAGCCACTGAGGCCTGCGTAGAAGGTGGCGTTAAGCTAGGTGATTGGAATACCGCTGATCTGTATGCATCGGACATCTTGGGGGTAATTTAACTAGGCCACTTTTTTGAATTACTAATTTTAGATTAAATATTTGTTAAAACTATTTTTACTTTACAGTATATTGACTAACAGTACATTACATTTAGCATAAACAAATATCTACAAAATTTATTTAACAATGTATCTAGGATCTGTTGCATCACGTGATTGGTTGGGTGGACTGGAATATGGCGCTGGACACCCAGGGTGGGCCCAACTGGTGCAAGAACTGGGTGGACGCTCCGTTGATAATTAACCCCGATCTGAAAGAGTATTACCGTCAGCCATCGTTCTACGCAATGGCCCACTTCAGCAAATTCCTGGCCCCGGGCTCTGTCCGAGTGGACACACCTGTAGTCAACCAGAATAACAATCACGGATTGGTCGGCGGTTTCCGCAGACCCGACGGCTCGATAGTCATTATTGCGGTCAATACGGAAGACATTGAGATTGATTTGATAGTAGAGGACGACAAGGCAGCCGGTAAATTGATCCAGAAGATTGCACCTAGATCAGTACAGACCTATGTATATTATGATTAGATAATGTAAGATTCATTAGTGTAATAAATATGAATTTTAATTTTTTTATCAAGTTTGTCAAAACTATATGTGTAATTAAATTATGTAACTTATAATGATTGTGTTTATAATTATTAAACTCTTGATCTTAGTTGTGTTTAAAAATTTACTTTATACATTTAAATTGTACAATAATTGGAACAAAATAAAATTTTCCATGATCAAGTGAACATTCTTTACCTTGAAGTGCATATAAACTAAAACTATATCTATATCTATATATATTAAAATATATCTAAAACTAAGAGTGTTTTTATAGTAAATAAAGATACTAGCTACTTTATTTAAGATACTATTGACAGACCACTTAATTGCACTTAAGATTGTTTTATGATAGTAAAAAATGTTAAGTTTTTATATATTGAAAAAATTTATTAATAATTTACATTTTTATTAGCAAAATTATATTAAATTTATTATTTAAACAAGCACATTAACTAATTTTCATTTAGACTAATTACATGGGGCTAAATTGAAATTTGATTAATTTATTAAATTAAATGATTATTATTAATTAAATAAATAACGTGAAACCGTATGTTAACTGTGTATTAAACCACCTGTATATACCCAACTCATATCGTTAATAAACACATTGTTAAGGTAAATACATAAAAGCATATAAAAGTAATATTCAAGGACAATTGAAAGTGATAACTCAATATCTCAATTACCTAAATCCTTTAAAAACTACAATATCCTTTATATTATTTAATTAAGTAAAATTCATATTGATAAAAAAATAATCTATTAATTATAAATATCAGCCACATTTATTTGAAAAACAACACACTTAATATTTAGTTCAGTGGATCTAGGTTTATTTGCTAAATTAATACATTTAATATAGTTAGAAGCCAGCAAGCACAAAAATTACCATGAACTATTTTCTGACCGTAACGCTAGTTATAGCTGCGTTAACTATAAACACGCACGGGCTAAAACCAAGTTGCGCCAACCATAAACAATTTGGCCATGATAGTATCGTGTGCGTTTGTAGCGATGCCAAACCGTGCGACAGCCTACAGGGGCCGACAAAAACGGCACCCGGCGTACTGACCCGATGGGAGTCAACCGCCGAGGGTAATCGATTTGTACGGACCGAGCTCAAATTGGCCCCAAAGGACCAGCACGTTGACCTGGATCAAAATGCGGCCCAATTGCACGTTAAACTCAATAGGGATGTAAAGCACCAGCAAATCATTGGCTTTGGCGGCGCTTTCACCGACTCTACGGGTATTAACATTAAGAAAATGGGCGCTAAATCTGAGGATCATTTGATTGGCGACTGTTTCGGTAAAGAGGGTCTGGAGTACAATATGGGACGCATACCCATCGGTGGCTCAGACTTTTCCACCCGTGCCTATAGTTTAGACGACAATACTAATGATGATAAACCACTTGCTAAATTTAATTTGACCCAGGAGGATCTCGATCTTAAGGTTTGTCTATTGATGTTTATATATTTTTAAATATTAATTTTTTCAAAATGATTTAAACCACAATTAAATAGATTCCGATTATTCAAAAAGCCATGAAAGTTGCCACACACGATATTAGACTGTTTGGCAGCCCCTGGTCTGCACCTAAATGGATGAAAACAAACAACGAGCTGATCCACGGCGGCGACATTAAGGGACAATACCTCGATGTTTATGCCAAATACTTTGTCAAGTAAAAATTTAAACGCTAGTTTTTTATTCAACATGCATATTTAACTAATTCAATATACTGTACATTTAATTACAGCAATTTACAACATGTTTAACCTAACCTTGTAATTTATTTATTACAGATATCTAGATGCATACAAAGCGCATGGTCTAAACCACTGGGGCATAACTGTGCAAAATGAACCATGGGCCTCTCAGCGCTGGAACTCAATGCACTTCGACCCGAAGTCAATGGCCTCGTTTGTGGCCAATCATTTGGGACCGGAGTTGGCCCGCAGTGGTTACGGTGTGGACAAATTGCAAGTAATGCAACTTGATCATAACGTGGGCATTGTCAAACAGTGGGTGAACGAGTACTTTGCCGACCCCGTGGCCTCCAAGTACACGGCGGGCACAGCTGTCCACTGGTACGGACACGACCCGAAGGAACAGTTGGACGCACCCCATAACCAACACCCGGACAAATGGATGTTAGCCACCGAGGCATGCGTAGAGGGCGGCGTTAAGCTAGGTGATTGGAATACGGCTAACCTTTATGCTACCGACATTTTGGGTGTAAGTAATTGTATCAATTAATATAATCAGATAACTTTGTTTCAAAAATAGTTATGTAAACTTACCACGTACCAAGTAAAAGTAGTTATATATACTTATAAAATAATTTTTTAAAAATTAATATAGATCTAACCCTTTTGTAATTTATCATATACACTAATCTAGGATCTGTTGCACCACGTGATCGGTTGGGTGGACTGGAATATGGTGTTGGACACCCAGGGAGGGCCCAACTGGACCAACAACTTTGTGGACGCACCACTTATTATTAACCCTCAGCTCAAGGAGTACTACCGTCAGCCCTCGTACTACGCGATGGCACACTTCAGCAAATTCCTGGCCCCGGGCTCTGTCCGAGTGGACACACCCATAGTCACTCAGAGTAACAATAAGGCACTGGTCGGCGGTTTCCGGCGCTCAGACGGCTCGACAGTTGTTATTGCGGTCAATACGGAAAATATTGAGATTGATTTTATTGTCGAGGATAGTAAGGCTGCCGGCAAACTGGTCCAGAAAATTGCACCTAGATCAGTTCAGACTTATGTTTATTATGATTAGGTTGTATTGATTGTTAAAGTTGTTGATTTGGTAATTGTTTTATTAAACTTGTTTGTTTTGTAAAATAAATTATAATATGTTTAATTTTAATTATTGTATAAAGTTTCCATTTGAAATTTGGTAAATTAGTTTGGGAAGGGTTTTTATAAGAAGTAATCAATATATGTAAGAGAAATTTTGTCGGATGAATGACTATTTA